ATTCGTTGCCTGGTGCACCCGGTGCTCCATACTTCGTCCGAGCTAACGGACGTCTGAAAGCAGACTCACGCAAGAGACTTCAGTTCTATGGAAGCATGTACTGCGAGTGTGTCTTTTCCTTCGACAACAACCCCGAAGTATCAGAAAGCATGACAAGACTCATCCTCGTAGATATGTTTGGACGCCACTGCTGGCTCTCCCCAATGCCCAGTGAGCATCCGATGACATACAGTCCATGTCTGGGCAATGGAGGGAGTCAACGGGCGGATGCTTAGCTGTGATGAAGGTGGCAATTGTATGATCAATGACTTTCCCTATTCGGACCTGAAGAGGTGAAACCAATGCTTTCCTGTGCCACTGAGGCCCCTTTACAGTCTTGTTTGCTGCAGTTGCTGGGGCATGTGAATGATAGGGTTTGGCGCTGCGCCTGCCCGTTTTCCAGCAACATTTGTCGCCTTCTCGCTTCGAAAATTGGTTGAGAACGGGCTGGCATCGCGTCAAATTCAGCCCCCTCCTTACATACTTCAGCATTCCCAACGAATAAGATTTTATGTACACTCTGTCACCAACCAAAAACCAGAACCTGAACCAGTAGCTCTCCGCTGCACCGCGCTCGCAACAGAGTCTGTGAACACACCCCCTGCTGCTTCAAGATATGAACAGCAATTTATCTACGAAGCAGTAGGAATGTTATCACTGGATGGTCAGCTGTGAGCGGTGGTAGTGCAATAGGATTCGTTCCCCCCACTAACGCCTCTCTCGCAGTCTTAGTTCTCAACTTTCTTCTTTCTTTCCTCTAACCACGGTGCAGGTCTTTCATACCTGCCCCTTCCCAGGGCGACTGTAAAACCTTGTGTGGTTGCTGCACAGTGAGTGGGTTCCCATATAGGACGGTGGTATCGCCGTCACAGAACTACGGTGAACATCGAGTGACGACGTCCGCGCTGTGATCAAAGTAAGTATGCTCACTGCGTCGCAACTACCCGCGGTGTAGTCCAATACCCTCCGGCTCGCACATTTGTAGATCAATCCCAGGAATTCTATTTCCTGCTAGGGCATTTTAAGAGACCCGGCTTGGTTGCAAATCTGAGTGGATCGTGTTCGATGGTTCTGAATCATTTTGGCAACAACGGATCATCCTGATGAGATATTTCTCTTTTTAGGGGCCTCTAGGAAAGTCAAGCATTAGTTCAGTGGTAAGCGGGAAATTAAGTATTTGCGAATAAGAAGAGAAACACTGTAACTTTTACAGGTATCGAAAGTTACATCAAGGATAACGGTAATTCATCCTCCTCAAGATTCTCAGATGCTTGAGAATTAGTCACGACTATTTCAATAAGAACTTTTCTCCCATTAAGGGCACTTCTAAAAGTGCAAGCGTCAGCGAATCAGTCTCTGGAAGTGTAAGCGCTGAAGAATCTCGAAAGCTTCTTCCAAAAGGTAAGGTATATATGCCGATAATGGTGATTTCCCTTGGATTGTTGGCGGTCAGGCAAACTGCTGCTCGGGTGGCTAGCTGACTGAAAAGATAAAAACTGAGGGAAACGGAGCTGGTGCAACACGGACCGCTACTCAAGAAGGGTCAGAAGATGGTATGCCCCAGAGCACATTAACGACAAGGAAACTTGTATTGTGCCATGGGTAATGGAGTCAATAGACACGCCATCAATGTGATTGTGGCGTCAATGGTATGTCATAGACTTGGGAGCAGGCGACGCCTCAGACAGGATACTTGCGCTACAGCGCTAGAAATGTGGAAAGGTGATAGTACCTGATCATGATCAGGTACACATGATAACATGTGATTCCATTTGATTGATGATACTAGCTCATGACGTCGTTTAAGGCCCAGAAATTGAGAAAACCTTGACATGGATTGAAATTGAAGCTACCGTACCATTAGTGGGGAAAAGTGCTAAGGCTCGGAGAAAAACTGTGCTCCGGAAAGGTTAGTAACTCATGATTTTAACTCCGGAAGAAAAGCGGATGAGTTCATCTTACAGTATCCGGTGTGGCTCTGCCTCGTGAAGTTCTTGCAATAATGGGCGGAAGTGGGGCAGGAAAAACAACCTTGATGAACATCTTCGCGTTTCAAAGTTCCAAGGAGGTGGAGGTAAAGTGTTCGATGCTCTTTTTGACCCCCTTCGTCGCTTTACTACCTTTGAAAGGGAGGGCGCACCACTGAGGAAAACAGGACCGTTCATTCGGATCCGCCCACACATCCATCGCGGAGTGCGTCTACAACTACATCTTCAGAGTAAAGGAGCAGTGCTGGTGAACGGAAGACCGATGACAAAACTTGAAATGCGAAGGATGTCAGCTTATGTCCAACAGATTGACCTATTTTGCGGCACGCTGACAGTAAAGGAACAGTTGACGTACTCTGTATGTTTACTTTTTATTCAGTAGGTAACAAATTCTAGTGCAGAGCAGGTGGAGTGTCAGACACCAGCTCCTGTGGGTGCAGAAGAATATAGTTTAGGTCGATTGTGGGAGTCAAACCTCTCAGACTTTTTGAGATTGCAGGCTTTGTTACGGATGGGAAGTCAGTTCACTTACGAACAAAAGATGAAAAAAGTGCAAGAAGTGATCAAAGACATGAATTTGACGGACTGTCAAGACACTCTAATTGGCATACCGAATCGGAGCAAAGGGATTTCTGTAGGAGAGAAAAAGCGCCTAGCGTTCGGCAGTGAGGTACGTCAACTTTAGGGGTGCCCACCCACAGTTCGATATAAGGCGCAGTCTTCCCCGTGATTCCAGTGATAGTTCATGATATCATCAGGGCGTAATGCCTTGGAGAAGGTGCTCCTGTCATTACTGTTCCGACTGCAATACAGATTCTTCATTTCAGATTTTAACTGACCCCACCATCTTGTTCTGTGATGAGCCCACAACTGGCCTAGATGGATTCATGGCGCATCAGGTAGAGTTCTCAAAGAATACGTCCTTCTTGCGAAAAGCGCTCCTGAATTACCTTGCGTACTCCTCAGATCGCGACAGCGTCCACTGTCAACATCACGATGCCTGGGGAGAGCGTATCCAGTCGTAGACAGCAACTGCATCGGCTCGGGGGGGGGGGGGGAAGAGGAGATGGGAGCCAACATGTCGTTGGTTCGCGTGCACACGCTACATCTCTGTCTGAGCAACCAACACATTACCACGCCGCTGCGCTGCAAGTGGGTCCACGGTCGCGCCCTCTCCATATGGTATATGTCGGAT